CCATCTGATAATTCAATACATGAAGATTTTGCTGAATAAGGTCTGGTGAGTTACCCAGGACTTGGGAAGGACAAGGACCCAGAACCCAGAACCTTGCCCTGGGGAAGGGCTGACTGTGCAAGATGGAACTGCTGTAGACAGTGTGGTATAGCAGTTGGAGCTGAGGCTGTGAGAATAGCTGACCCCTGATATTTCCAGGGGTTCCTTTAGGCTTCCTCTCCCCATGCATATACCCCAGTCCCTCTGAAAAGTGGTGTAATATCTGCAGGTGACCTTGCACATCCTGCTGTATACTTTAAATGGTCTCTAGATTACTTATGATACTTAACTCAATGAAACGCTGTGTACAGTGGTCAGATTTGTCTCCAACTCCCCAGACCCATGGGGCTTCTGCTCTGGAGTGAGGAGAGTGTGCCACTGGGTGCTTCTGCTCTCTGCAGGCCCCTGCCCCAACCAGCTCCCCTTTCCCATGCTGTAGCCCTTGTCTCCCTCTCACCCCTTAATAGATGGGGAGTGTGTGCAGATGGACCCTGTCTGGCAGGTGTTACTCTCATGTGCCTCCAGGATAAAAGATAGAAGGTGATTTCTTTTTTATCTTATTTTAATTAGAAATTTTAATTGTATGTATTCTAGGTGTATAGCATGGTGGCTGGATATGCATAGACAAGAAATGACCATCACAGGTGAGCAAATTAATGTGTCCATCCCCTCATATACTTACTTTTTCTTGTGTGATGGAGCACCTGCAATCTCCTTTTAGCAGATTTGCATGATTGTTTTTTAACTAGAGTGTATGAATGATGTTCCTCAAGGAAAGGTAGAGTCACAGTGTTTGGCCAGGTTCAAAAATGCAGTCAGGGGAAAAAGGGCTTTGCATTCTATTCCCAAGGGTACCTGGCACCTGGATTTATCACAGCCAGCTAGGGCTCCAGGGCCTTATCTTGTTTCCCTAATTACCCAAGGAAGGAGGAGCTGGCCAGAGGCTTGCAATTCATATTAATTAGCCTGACAGCTGTTTGCTCCACTTTAGACATTGGGTGGGCTAGTCCTGCCTGGCTGGTACTCCCAGGTGAAGGTAATAACACTATTGTTATCCCAAGGAAGGATCGGGCCAGAAATAAAGGAGATGGTTTTATTGACTTGTCTCCTTGGGCCTCTAACTTTCTCTCACACATATACATTTTTTAATATAATGATAAATCTTTGTTGAACATTTACTAGTGGTTTTATTGATTTTTCAGAGACAGGCTGTGAGAATTATAGCCCACATTTGGCTGGGGTTGAAGCAGGGCCTCCAACGTGGAGATCAGCCTGACCAGGCATGCTCTTTATGCTCGAGACTGTAGCGGGTGTCCAGACGGGGTCACCCCAACTGTGATGACCAAGGTGACCATGAAAGGAGACTCTGAGGTGGGGCCCTTGCACAGGGTGTGGCCCCACTCAGATGGACCCACTGCTTCAAGATGTTATATTTCTTCTGTTTCATAGCAGAATAACACCACTTTTCCTCAGCCCTCTAACCAACATAGCACAGAGATGTAAGAGCTCAAAATGAATAAATTACCAAGGTTTGAGCTGCCATGACCCTTGGAATACACAGTCCTCATTTTTATTTAGCTCAGAGTCAACCTTCACCAAGCACTTAGTGTGGCAGGCGAAGGCGACTCCCCTAGTCCATTTGCCAAAACCAAAGCATCAAATGTGGTAGTTTCTCTTAACTGTTTACTCAATTGACTTTCTTTACTCTTCATGAAAGTAAAGGAAGGTTGAATTTGTCTCTATTCCAACTCCCAACAGTTAGTAGTTGGAGCCTGAGAGGGATTGAGGGATGAATCAGGTACCTAAGAACAGTAGTTTAAAAGAATATATTTTCTTTCTCCAATGAGGATGGTTGGCTCCTTTGTCAAAGATGAGGTGGCTGAGGATATCTGTAGTCATTTCTGCATCTTCTAATCTATTCCACTGATCCTTGGGTATGTTTCTTTGCCAATACCATGCTGTTTTTGTCACAGTAGCTTTGTGGTATAGTTTCAAGTTGGGGATTGTAATACCCCCAGCCATATCTCTGTTGCCTAAAATTTCTTTTGCTATTCTAGGTCTCTTCTCATTCCAAATGAATTTTTGGATTGTTTTCTCTACTTCTGTGAAATATATTGTTGGAATTTCAATTGGCATTGCATTAAACCTATATAATAGCTTTGGAAGTATGGCCATTTTCACTATATTGCTTCTTCCTATCCAGGAACAAAGGATGTCTTTCCATTTTCTTATAGCCTCCTCAATCTCCTTTTTCAAACTGTTATAGTTTTCAGTGTAGAGGTCTTCTGCTTCCTTTGTTAGATTGACTCCCAGATATTTCATTTTTTTGGATGCTATTGTAAAATGACTTGTTTTCCTAATTTCTCTCTCAGTGAGCCTATTATTTGTATATAAAAAGGCTATTGTTTTTTGAGTGTTTACCTTATATCCAGCTACTCTACTGAATCTGTCAATTAAGTCTAGAAGTCTTTTGGCAGAGTATTTTGGGTCTTCCATATAAAGTATCATATTATCAGCAAATAATGACAGTTTAATTTATTCCTTTCCTATTTTTATTCCTTTTATTTCTTTCTCTTTTCTAATTGCTATGGCTAATGTTTCCAGAACTATATTAAACAACAGTGGTGATAGTGGGCATCCTTTTCTTGTTCCTGATTTTAGCATGAAAGTTTTCAGTTTTTGACCATTTAGTATGATGTTGGCTGTTGGTTTTTCATAGGTAGCTTTAATCAAGGAAAGATAACCTATTTAATAAATGGTGTTGGAAAAACTGGATTTCAACCTGCCAAAGATTAAAACTAGACCCTTACCTATCACCATGCACTAAATTAAGATAGAAATGGATTAAAGATTTAAATATTAAGACAGAAACACTAAATTTGCTGGAAGATAAGTTAGATAGAACTCTTGAAGGAAAAGATTATAGGAAAAGATTTTATGAAAAAAACTTCAGTGACACGGGAACTTGCACAAAGAATCAACAACTGGGATCTTATCTTATTAAAAAGCTTCTGCATTGCAAAAGAAACCGCCAACAAAGCTAAGAGACAACCTACAATGCGGGAAAAACTTTTCAGCAACTGTACCTCTGACAAAGGACTACTATCTAGAATATATAAAGAACTGAAAAAAATCAGACCCCCCCAAATTCAAAGACCCAATTCAAAAATGGGTGTGTGAAATGAACAGATATTTCTCAAAGAAGTAAAAGCAGCAAATATATGAAAAAAATGTTCAACATTACTGGTCATTCGAGAGATGCAGATGAAAACAACGCTGAGATTCCACCTCACTCCAGAAAGAGTGGCTGCTATTAAGAAATCAACCAATAACAAATGCTGGTGGGGTTGTGGGGAGAGAGGAGCCCTTCTCCATTGTTGGTGGGAGTCCAGACTGGGGCAACCACTGTGGAAATCAGTATGGAGCTAACTCAAAGAATTAGGCTTAGAGGTCCCATTCTACCCAGCTATCCCCCTAGTGGGTATCTTCTCCAAAGAATTAAAAGAATCTTACCACAGTGATATATGTGCACCCATATTTATGGCAGCACAGTTCGTAATAGTGAAAGCTTGGAAACAGCCCAAGTGCCCATTAACTGGAAGCTGGATAAAGAAGATGTGGGTTTTTTTTTTATAAAATGGAGTACTACTCAGCCATAAAGAATGAGAAACTAGAGACTGGCGAAGCCCAACCAACCTCCAAGGCTGCTTGACAAAGTTCCAGCTTGGGGAAAAGAAGGGTGGAACACATCGTACCCTCATGTTTTATTTTTTTCATGCCATAATGTTTAAAATTGTTACTCTGGTCACAGGAATCATTGTGTTTGTGACTAACAACAAACTCTCCATAAGGCAAATTGGCAATGATGTATTGAAATGTGATCTGGCTCAAAAGTCCCAAAATTCCAGTTTCTCTTAGTTCTATTGTCACACCCACTTCTAAAGAAACCTCTCCTGAAACTCGCTCTGTTTTCCCACTACTATAACTCCCCCCTCTTATTGCTGACCTTCTTATTACTAAAGGGGTCTTATGAAGAGGTTGAAAGGACAGACTTTAGGTGTAAGAAATAGTGGGAAATAAGAAATAGAGAGAAAGTTGGGACAGGTAAATGCATTAAGGAGGCGAGCTATTCAATATTTCTCACAGTGCTGAAAATATCTCCTGCTCATGAACTATGAACCCGAATGACACTTAGGTAAGATAAATAGAGGTATAGGAAAGTAGAGAGCTAATAGCAAACTATATTAACTGTTGTGCAGTTTCTCAAGGGCTAGCTGGTGACCACACGTTTGACACTTAATTAATTAAATCTTGCTTGTACCCCCTCTGCTATAGAGATTTTAATTGTTACCCTCTGGAGATTTTGATTAAGTTACATTTTGTTCTACTTAGGTTTGGGAAAATAAGGGGACAATTGTGATTTTTAAGAAATGTATTCATGATGTTCAATGAAATGAATCAGTTTAGAAAAATATATTGTTTAGTAAAAATAACTTTACCTCACTAGATGTTGCTAAGGCAACCTAAAATGTAAACATATTCCGCCCAATGCCTCTTAGCTATTGCTTAAAGATATAAAAATAAATCAGACCCTGAGACTTCTCAGAGGGAACCTGCACATTGCTTGCGACGGTTCTTTTCTCACTCGCCAGCCCGAGACCTCTCCCCTTCCTACCCTACATCGACTGCAGCTGGTCTGCGGCAAGAGACATTCATAGCTAAATGGATGCATATTGAGGCCATCCGCTTAAGTGAAATAAACAGGACACACATGTGTAAATACTGAATAGTTTCTCTAGTGTGAGAAACTGAGAGTGTAATTAAGGATACACACGGATGAAATGACTTGATAACATATTTCTTGGATTGTATTTCCATCGCGTGTCATATGGCTAGTGAAATTTAAATTAGGGAGAAGCTTGCCTTATGTGGAGTCTGCTAGCTAACTGGAGGATTTTTTTCAGACCACTATTTGTTCAATGTTGGTTTGGGGGATCTTTCTGAAACAAATCACATCCTCTGGTGTCTTGGTTGGTGCTTGAGATGGTTTTTTAAGTTATACAGAAAAATGTTTAAGTGCTTTTCAGTTTTGTTTTGGTTGAGTTCTACTATATTTAAATATTATTATAGTTTTTTTCCCTTGCATTGTTCTTCTTAGAATGGTTTTAATTTTTGTATGTGTGTGTTTGCTAATAAAGTTATTTAAATTTTTTTTAAAGAATATATTTTCAAATATAAATAACCCAGAAGAATAAATTTTGTATGTTTTCCAAATAAAAACTGTTAAAATTGCTTAGTATTAAAGGAGAAATACCCACCCCCACTCTGTGGAGAGGGAGCACAAAATTATTGGATGCTGGTAAGATTCATAAAGTTGAGCTTGTTTGCTCTTATTCATGGTGACCTTTTAAAGTCATCTCCACTTATACTCTTGAGGTTTTCCTTTGCGATTGCCATTGTCATTTACTAACTCAGAGGCTGCACTACTCAAAGCCCATCAGTCCCTGGAGTTACAGTCATAGACTGGAAAAGAACATAGGATCAGGAGTCAAGAAATGGCTTCACATTGGAAGTTGGAAGTGCGAGGAGCAAAATATAGAATGAGGCTCAGGAAGAAGCACAGGACGCGAACTGTGGGAGACCCTGGGCCCGACCCCAGAAGGCAGTGAGCAGGAAGCTGAGGGGGCGCTGAAGCTGGCCCTGGCCCTGCAGCGTGGAAGCTTTCCTCACAGGAGCTCAGAGAGGGGTGGTGGCAGCTCACAGCGGTGGTTGGCGCCCCCTTGTGGACGCTCAGTTCCTCAGTCCTGTGAACTTTGAATGGGGGCAGACCCTTGTGTGCAGGATAATAGGGAGGCTCTGTGGGGTGTGTGGGACTCAGGGGCAGGGGCAGGCCTCCTTCCCCCCGGTAGCTAGGAGAGCAGGTGGGCAGGACATTGGTGGGGGTCCTTTGGAGGCATCAGTGCCTAGGGGAGGCTTGGACTTGGGAAGGAGGAGTAGTTGGAGACGGCCCCTATGCGGGGTAGGGCTATTCGATGTATGAGATTTGATTCCCAGGCCAAATCACAGCCTTATTTTTTTTCTTCCATTTTAAAAAAGAGGAAATAGTATTAGGCTCACAGATTTTGTCGAAGGATATCTTTAAAACATAACTGCAGACATGAAATGAACTTGTCAAATATTTTATTTAACTCATTAAATTAGGGAACCAAGAAGAGTCTACAAGAGGGTTAAAAGTGAAATCACAAAGATGGACTATTTATTGATCAGGAATACCAAAGGAATTTGCAAGTGATTTTAAAACTGGTGCTTTTATAAATGGTTGAGGGGAAAAGTTTGTCCCAACAGAATTTAGCGGTCTGTTATTTACATTCCTATCAGTCATCTACGATTTAAAGTTATAAAATAGTTTGAAGGTCCTAAAGGAGCAGACCCTCGTGGGGTGAGGACTGGATTGAGGAGACGCAAAGGCAGCCTAGTCCAGGTTTTCACTGAAGCATGTTTTTTGTTTTTCCGGAGTGTGCTGAGAGTGAGGGGCGCCTGTGGGTAAGCGATCCGGAGGCGGTGAGGCTCGGGCCGAAAGTGTGGGTGCCTGTGGGGAGAACCCACAGAGAGCCAGGGAGGGCGCCCCCGGGCCAGAATCGCGGGGAATCCTCGGGGTTCGAACCGGCTCTGGGGCAGGACAAGGGCCGGAGGAGAAGGCGAGGAGGGTCGCGGGGAGGCCGGGGCCGAGGGCTCTCGGCGAGGGAAGGGGGTGCGAGACCCCGGGGTCCAGGCTACCTTTGGGGCCCGGAGCAAGAGAGGAGAGCGGTGGGGCGGGGCGGACCTTTCCGGGGCGGCGGACGCGCTCCGCTCTCGGCGAGTGGGGCGGC